CGGTGTCATCAGCCGAGTGCAGCGTGGGTTTCACGCGTCAACAAATCCTGCCGGAGTTACAGCGAATAGATCAGAATGACGGTACATTTCATTAATAATAAGCCGGTTTAATGGTTTACACTCTTTACTTCATGCGGTTTAGAGTATTGCCTGCTTCATGAGCTCAAACAACAAAAAAAATGAAATAAACCGGTCCATTGAGCAGAATGGCTTATATTTAGCAGCTAGCTTCATGCAAATGTGTCGCTTGATCATTTATGTTTTTTGAGTCATGAGCGAAAAGTAGGAGCAAATGTTCTATCCACACAGTGAGCGATCTCAATAACGTTGTTACTTTCTTGCAAGTATTCATAACTCTATGAATGGAGTTGACAGCTGTCAATCAGAGGTGCTGATGCGCATCACTGCTGTTCTGATCTGGAGACGAGTGCCTCTATATAGCTTAGGAAATGTACCATTTTGGTTGCTGGAAGTTTTATTAATAAACAAACTATGACACTTAACAGATCACACATTAATTTATGAACTTAAGTTTCGATGCATTTCTAACTGTTTACATAAGGTAATATTTTAATGATGCTCTGCTGAATATATATATATATATATGCACTGCGGTCAAAATTTTACATATGCTTTGCAGTATCTGCAAAAAGTTAATTATTTTACCAAAATAAGAGGGGTCATACAAAATGCATGTTGTTATTTTTTTAGTTAGTGCTGACCTGAATAAGATATTTCACATATCTTGTTTAAATATAGTCCACAAGAGAAATTAATAGTTGAATTTATAAAAATGACCCCGTTCAAAAGATTACATATGCTCGATTCTTAATACGGTGTTGTTACCTGGATGATCCACAGCTGTTTTTTGTTTTGTTTTTTGTGATAGTCGTTCATGAGTCCCTTGTTTGTCTCGAACAGTTAAACTGCACGTTGTTCTTCAATCATTCAAGTCCCACAAATTCTTTGGCAAGTTTCTTATGAGTCTCTCAGTGTGAAAAGATGGATCTCAAAATCATTACAGTCATTGTTGGAAAGGGTTCAAATACGCAAAAGATGCTGGAAAACCAAAAACATTGTGGGACCTGAAGGATTTTTCTGAAGAACAGCAGGCAATTTTAATGTTCGAGACAAACAAGGGACTCATGAACGACTATCACAAAAAAAAGAAAAAAAAAGAAAAAACAGCTGTGGATCATCCAGGTAACAACACAGTATTAAGAATCGAGCATATGTCAACTTTTGAACGGGTATATTCATCTATTCTTGTGGACTATATGTAAACATCTTTTATGTGAAATATCTTATTCAGGTCAGCACTAACTAAAAAAATAACAACATGCATTTTGTATGACCCCTCTTATTTTGGTAAAATAATTAACTTTTTGCAGATACTGCAAAGCATATGTAAAATTTTGACCGCAGTGCATATATATATATATATATTCAGCAGAGCATCATTAAAATATTACCTTATGTAAACAGTTAGAAATGCATCGAAACTTAAGTTCATAAATTAATGTGTGATCTGTTAAGTGTCATAGTTTGTTTATTAATAAAACTTCCAGCAACCAAAATGGTACATTTCCTAAGCTATATAGAGGCCCTCGTCTCCAGATCAGAACAGCAGTGATGCGCATCAGCACCTCTGATTGACAACTGTCAACTCCATTCATAGAGTTATGAATACTTGCAAGAAAGTAACAACGTTATTGAGATCGCTCACTGTGTGGATAGAACATTTGCTCCTACTTTTCGCTCATGACTCAAAAAACATAAATGATCAAGCGACACATTTGCATGAAGCTAGCTGCTAAATATAAGCCATTCTGCTCAATGGACCGGTTTATTTCATTTTTTTTGTTGTTTGAGCTCATGAAGCAGGCAATACTCTAAACCGCATGAAGTAAAGAGTGTAAACCATTAAACCGGCTTATTATTAATGAAATGTACCGTCATTCTGATCTATTCGCTGTAACTCCGGCAGGATTTGTTGACGCGTGAAACCCACGCTGCACTCGGCTGATGACACCGTGCGGAAACGGAAGACGCTTTGTATTATGGGTAATGGAGTTCGTAGGGCCTCAATACTCTTCCCCAGTTTACAAGAACCGCTCTGTGATATTCCGGTGCAGTTATATGCAGTGTTGGGGAGTAACTAGTAACTAGTAACAGTGTTAGGGAGTAACTAGTTACATGTTACGTAATTTAATTACAAAATAAATGTAACTGTAACCTGTTACGGTTACCTATGAAAATGTTAACGATTACAAAGGTACATCTGAATATTTTCGCGCGCGCGCGCACACACACACACATCTTTTTTTGCTGTCTTAGTGAAGACATTGCATAGACTTCCATTGATTTTGTTTGAGCTCATGAAGCAGGCAATACTCTAAACCGCATGAAGTAAAGAGTGTAAACCATTAAACCGGCTTATTATTAATGAAATGTACCGTCATTCTGATCTATTCGCTGTAACTCCGGCAGGATTTGTTGACGCGTGAAACCCACGCTGCACTCGGCTGATGACACCGGAAACGGAAGACGCTTTGTATTATGGGTAATGGAGTTCGTAGGGCCTCAATACTCTTCCCCACACTAGATTTAAATAACATATTTTGGCTGATTTATAAGAATTAAATGGGGTAACTTGTAATCTGTAATATAGAAAATAATAATAAATAATAATAATAAATAATTTTATAGTCATTTATCAAATTATTATTATTATTATTATTGGGGTGTGCATTGTTTTTTTTTGTCTGTTTGTTTTTTCTCTCAGGATTGTTCCATACATTCCAGCATGGCATAAACAATTCAGTATTAAATAGTCTATCTCTGATGTGGGTGGCCATTATGAAAAGTGGGGGACTGGTAATTATGGTATGCATCATGGCATGTTAAAGCAGCTCTGTGATTGGCTGTCCTCTTTGCGTTGTGACGTTGCCAAGAACCTCCAGCAGCTCGTCCGACGTGCTAGTGACTACAGAAGGCCCAGTGTGTTTTCAGACGATGCTAGTAGGAATTGCGCATAAACACCCAGCCTTTTATCAGTATTAATCACTTGCGCGTCAGGATGATTATAGACAATGTTGACGCTCTGAAATCCTGGCTGGCTAAACTTCTTGAACCCATGTAAGTGATGAACAGTGACATTTGAAAGAGTGAAGCTAACATGCTAACAGCTTAGCTGGGTTTCAAACCACTTAACCGCTCTGCGAACAGATATCGCTTACTTTGATTGTTTTTAAATGATAGTTCATTTGTGTTGTATTCATATACAAGGTCATATTGTTCAGAAAACTAACACATCTCCCAGTTAGAAGCTATGAAGTAGGAAGCTTAGCTAAGAGGGTCTGCTGGCAGAGTCATCAAAACAGCCTGATAGTTTTCATAGACTGGGCCAAAACAGGATCAGGGCACAAGTTATTTTCGTTTTAAAGCCTTGGCATGTGTGATCAGCAGGCAGTTTATTTTTGAAGTCAGTAGTGTGGTTGTTGCACTAGCTGACAACTTGTCAAGTGTTTGATTTCAGTGCATCCTAGTAGTAGACCTCTTGGAAAAGCTGCTAGTAAACAACACTTATGTTGTGTATTGGTGTTTTAGAAGACCTGCATGGATACACGTGACTTTTGGATTAGATAGGAAACTTCTTGTCTTTTGCATGTGTGGATTTACATGAAATGAACCTGAGATCTTTTACAGATGTGATGCTGACCCGTCTGCATTGGCGAACTACGTTGTGGCGTTAGTAAAGAAGGATAAACCAGAGAAAGAACTCCGAGCGTTGTGTGCGGATCAGCTGGATGTTTTCCTTCAGAAAGGTATTGGTAAAAAAAAGTCTTCACATAGCTGTTTGTTCTAAATTTAGAAAGTGTTGTGAATACTGTGCACATACGTATGCAATTACTAGCGAATTCAGGCCCTTTTGTCAAGCGTGAATGATTTAATAAGAGTATCATGCGCTTTGTTGTATTTACTGAATTGATTCATTGTTCTGTTTGTTTCACAGAGACTACAGGGTTCGTCGATAAACTCTTTGAATGCCTAACCACCAAAAATTATTTGGGAACTCCAGCTGCTAAAGAAGAGAGTAAAATCCCAGTGCAGAAGCTTGAGGAGAAGGAAGAGGTAAATAGTCACTAATAGGAAATAACAGTGTAAAATATTTGTTATTGTTTATAATGTTGCAAAATGTAAACTGTGTAATGACACAGCTCTCTATATAAAGTTGGATACATAAGTGTATCCAATATAAATGGTATAATCGCGAAAAGCGATATATACTATATAGCAACTGCTTGATTGTTTATATAATTGAAAAATGTAAACTGTATTATCACCCAGCTCTAATCTGCTTGATGCAACTATAAAGCATGAAGATGTTATGACATTATAAACATTATCATCATGATTTTCTTTAAAACGATGTGTATTGTTAAAAACATACAAATAAAATTGACTTGATTTGACGTGTATAGTAGTGCACTATACTCTCCAATAGTCATGACAGATTCCTAGTGTAAATAAATGAATAAATTGCATTAATATTAATAACACATTGACATGTGTTTTCAGCCTAGTCATGTTGAAGATGATAGGGATAACAGAAGAAGAAGAAGCCCATTAAGGAATCGTTCAGACTTCAACGAATCAAGGTTGGTCTTCAAAAGTGTTTTAGTAATTCAGTAATATAAAGTTTTCCTGTAATTCAAAGCTGAATTTTCAGCATCATTACTCCAGTCTTCAGTGTCACATGATCTTCAGAAATCATTCTAATATGCTGCTCAAGCAACGTTTATTTTTAGTGTCAATGTTGAAAACAGTTGTGCTTCTTAATATTGTTCTGGAAACCATGATGTATTTTTTTCAGATTTCTTTGATGAATAGGAAGTTAAAAGAAGCAACATTTCAAATAGAAATAATTTGTAACAATGTAGAAGTCTTTACGGTCACCTTTCAGTTTAATCGTTGTAATGCATCCTTGAAAGTATTAATTTCTTTAAAAAAAAAAAAAATCTTATTGAGTACCTCAAATTATTCCATGAAACTTCCATTATGTGTAAAAACCCTTTCACACCAGACATGAGGCAGTTAGAGCTGTCCAATGTATATCAAATTCACTGTTCAGTAACACGCAGTATCTAAACGTCTCAACTCAGGGCTAGAGATGACCGCAGGAGAGACGACCGTAAGCGACGGGAACTGGACCGTCATGGAAAGAGCGGAGAATCGTACCGAGACCGACATGAGCGACGAGGAGGAAGCTCACGGGGGAGAAGCTACAGTCGAAGCAGGAGTCGTAGCCGCAGTAGCAGCCGTGGAAAGAGCCGAGAAAGAGAGCACAATCAGAGGAGAGGTGAGAACCGTCCCAAATCATTACTTTTACCTATACTTAAGTTCATTTGTGTGCAACAGAGTGCCTAGAAATGTATTTAATTTAAATGGTTTATCGTTCCATAATATGATGCACTTTTTTTATTTTATTTATTATTTTATTCTTAAATGCATAAAAAAGAAATTAATTCAAACATGGAAGGACTTAAATATACATATTTTCTAATATGCATATATTTAGATTTTTTTTTAAAAATTGGTATAAAAAATGTCAGGCCGATGTAACTGTCCTGATATCATTAAATAATAAATAATTAAAAGAAAGCAATTTTTGAAAGTGCTTTGGTGTAATCTTTTGTTACTATTTCTTAGGAAATAAAACTGCTTATTAATAGTTGAAGAAAATTTGAGGAATTTGAGGACGAAATTATATCACAGAGAGAGCCCTTAAAAACCTTCAAGGCTTTGTTTTATAATATTCGTGTTTATTTAGTAATTTATTATATTTGTTTTAAAAAATGCCTTTTAACTTAAATATTTAAAAAAATAAAAAAAAACTAATATAAGACTAGTACGTATGCAAGGTAAATATGAAAATGCTTGTAAGCAAACAAGAGATACTTGATGGTTATGCCACTTGACATTATTCGAGTTAACTTGTGTTTTTTTCAAAATAGTATAAAAGTTTTTCTAAACTGTTTGCAACCAACATAAATTAAAGCAATAAGCCCCAAGAAGCCGTGGTTTACAGTGAATTTATAACAGCTAAGGGGCATTGTTAATAAAAAAAAAAAACACCTTAGCTGTTATAAATTCACTGTAAACCACGGCTTCACGGGGCTTATTGCTTTTATAAAACGGTTATTCCATATACGTAGTTAGGTTTCACAAAATAAAACAGAGCAAATAAAGTGTAATGATATTAATAAAAACAGTATTCTTCCACCAAACAATGTAGTTCCTCAGAAACAGTTGTGGTTGCAACAAAGTGGTTGCCGAGCAACACACAAAGTAAACAAAGGTGTATGTTTGTAGAGTAATTTACAACAGCTTCGAACGTGGCTCAACCAATCAGAATCAAGGACCGGAACTATCCGTTTTATAAACTTGGAATTGGAAATAAAATTGGCCTTCTCTGCTGACTAATCGCTTCTCCTAAATTTGGAGAGTGACCAAGCAGTTGAAGTAGCCTTACGGACGCTGTGCACACCTTTTTTAATAGGGTATATGTCGAACGTCACCTGACCAACCCCGGAAAACAGGTCTCATCACTTCCGCCTGTCGGAGAACGTGTTAACAGCCGTATTAAATAATAGCGATATCTATGGACTTTTAAGATAATCAGTTAAACTAGCTAGCTGTTTTTATATCTAAATGTTAGCGAAAAGAATAAAAATAAAAAACTTTTAGATATCAGTCCGCATATGTGATGGACATTGGTTATGATAATCTTTGGTATCTACTTTGAAGGTGTCTTGAGTAAAACTGCTTTATATTTAACGAAGCATATGCAAAACGCTTGAACCGGAAGCGACGAGGCTCGGTTAACAGAATACGGAAGTCTGTTGCGCATAACCCCTATTAGCACACTTAAAGTCTATAGCAGGCGAATGGCTCAAATCGAAACTACTGCGGGACAGTTCGCCACTTAAGTGCAGTAAACAAGCAATACAAATGCTAAAAGCTTCTTCTTAGCAGACGACTATTATTCTAATTACAAATAAGTGCAATCAAAATACAAATTATAACAAAAGAAAAATAGAAATAGATAATAAATGAAATATTCCTTTCTAGCAGCAAATAAAAATCTAAACAACAGAAATAGAAACAAAGTATTAAGCAAACATTTACGCTCTGGCGCCGCCTCTGCTGACTAATCGCTTGTCGTTGACTGTAAATTTATTTAAACAACTGTCAGGATTTCTTTCTTTGCAAACAAACATTCAACAAATGTGTCTTCATTTTAAATGTGCTTTTATTTCAGCAGAGCACAGATCCAAATTTGAGCCGGAGCGGAAGGACATAGAGCCTTACAACCCATCCTCTGCCCACATGGGTAACCCACACCACCAGCAGACCCATCCACCCCCCCTGCTCCCTCTGCCCCTTCCTCAGCACCAGTTCCACTCTTCAGGGAGCCCAGTCGTCCCCAACGCTGTAACCGTGGTAGCACCGGCTCACCTGCCCGACAGCACTACAGAGAGCTGGTCCACATACTTCACCAACCACACAGACGGCAAGACGTTCAACAAGAGCAACACGCTTAAACACCGCTGCAGAGACTACGACGGTAAGACGCAATTCACTTTTGTCACATGTTTGGTGTGATTATGGTGCTTGTATGACTTTTCCCTGACTTTTCTAATTAGTGTTGTTATTGTTAACTAAAACTTTAAAAAATTGTTTTTGGTAACTGAAAAAAAAAAGCTACAAGAAAATTAGAAATGTTGCTTTGGCAACTAACTGAAAAGTTGAAGTACTAAAATTACTGAAACGAGAACTAAAATAAAAATAAATTAAAGCTAAATAGGTGTGTTTTTTTTATTGTTGGTTTTTTTTCACGATAATTTATTTTTATATAAAGTAGTATTTAAATTATACTAAATAACACTGTTTCTAATGCATTTTATATTGTTTAAATTAGCAACAGATTAAAAAAAAAAAATGTTTTTCAAAAATTTTGGACACTTAACTAATGGACACTTGTAATTCATCACATTAAATACGAACTTGTTCTACTAATGTGTGACAACCAGAAAGTGTACAAAAACATGTTTGCTTGGTTTGAAATAAAACAATTAGGGTTGCAAAAAGGTGGAACATTTCCAGTAAATTTCGGAAACATTCCAGAAATTTTGGAAACTTTCCAGGATTTTTTTGAATATTCCAGGGATTTTTGGAAAGTTTCCGGAAATTTACCGGAAATTTTCCACCCCTTTGCAACCCTAAAAACAATAGATTCACTGTTCGAAATGAAGACAGAAAGCTATTTTAAACATATTAAACCTAACAAACATGTTTCGTTTAAAGTGTGCTTGTGCTTTCTTTCTTAAAGGGGTCATATGATGCGATTTCAAGTTTTCCTTTGCAACTTAGTTTCATGTTTTAATGTTTTAGCTCTTAAAGTCCAAATACATTTTGCAGCCACTGGATGTCTTTAAAATCGAAGTCCAGTGACGTATAATCCGAAACACTGATGTGTCTTGATGTTCTCTAAGGACACAGTTTACTCTTTTGGGTGTCTGTTTCTATAGCATCACTAATGACTATGGCGTAGCAGACTCACTGCATGGCCTTATGGGAGTGGCGTTAAAGCGGCAGTGTTTATATTTACTACCCTGTATTTCTGGAGCGAGGGTATTTTTCACACTGCTGGGAGTAGCAGGAGAATGTCCACAGAGATTACTGAAGGATGGATGGTTAGCTCGATTATCCCTGATCTTATTAAAGAAGCTGTGATTTGGCATGTTGACGGGAAAGAGACGTGACGATCCATACAGCACTGTTTACATGGAGCAAACTCCACTGAAGAATGACCTCAGTGACCAGAAGTTCATCCACCTTGACAAGTACTCCTTCCTCAAGGATGACTTGAATAGGGCTCAAATTTCAAAGTGCTTTGGAAAAAAATTACATCTTTGCGTTTCTGCTTTTAAACAGTCCAGAAAGACTGATGTGATATTGTTGATTTTAATGTTTAGTGTTTCTTTTTGTTGGCAGAGAAAGGATTTTGTATACGAGGCGATCTCTGTCCTTTTGACCACGGTAATGACCCTCTGATCGTGGATGACGTCACACTTCCTACCATGATCCCGTTTCCACCCCCACCAGGCCTGCCACGGATGCCCATGCCGCCAATGACAGAACCACCTCCTCGCATGCCCATGCCACTGCCCCCTCCCCACGGACAGCCTCCGCCTCCAGGCATCTACCCCATGCCAGGTGAGTGTCATTTTGATTTCAGCATGCTAGACTAGCTTTTTCCTCAATTAAGTTAAAAATAAAAAAGGATATAATTATATCATTTTTATGCATACTTGTTTTATTTATCATTATTAATCATATCATTATTAATTTATTTATCTTTTTTATAGATTTAATTTTAGTTTTTTTTTAGTTTAGTTTAGTTATTTAATTACTAATTATTTATTTTAATTACTTTTTTTTTTTTAAATCAATAAAAATTTTCAGTTGACATTAAAATCTTATATAATTATGTATCAGAATAGAATTTTCCAGAAAATAAGTTTCACCTGAAATAAAACTCACACAAGGTCAAAATTGCATTGTTGAGAGAGAGAGATAGAGAGAGAGAGAGAAACTCAGATAAGTCGCATCAGTGTGTAAGTCATATTTTATTACATTCAGAAATAAATAGGGATGTAATGATTCACTCAACTCACGATTCGATTCACTATTTTGATTTCACGATTTGATTTTCTCCCGATTTTTTTTTACAAAATGAGATTGAAGACATTATACAGTAAATGAAAAGGTGTCGTTTTATTAGGCTATTGCTGCACGCACCTTTGTGAAATTGAAATATAACAAAACTCAATTTAAAAATTTAAAACAAACCCCAAATCAAACAAGTAACACAAATAAAAGATTTGTGCTCTTTCCATTTAAAATTAGAGGCAACCACTGGATTTTAATCACGATCCAAACAAAGATGCGGCATACATGCAGCGTGAGTAGTTTTTAATCTAAATTAGACTGTATAATTTCGAAATTTGAAGCAAAAACAGAATGGTCTGACTTTAGTTTTGTGAAACTATACTACAGTACATAAAACATCTGAACGAAACCGCATAAGGGCTGAATGAGACGCAGATTCACTCTCTGCCAGCAGGTGGCGCTTATGAACAGCAATGATAGTGTTTCCTGGGTTACCGCTGTAAACAAAGCAGAGCTGCGCCCATGAACACTACTTTAATATGCATTGTTCAGAGGCAAGATGAAAAGAAAATACCACGCAAACTTTTCTAAAGATAGTCAGTTCCCTTCAGAGAGACATTCATGTAAACTCCTACTCCAATTGTATCGCGATTTGTTTAGCATCTCAACCGATTTGAATCGTCACATATTTGAATCGATTTTCAACCGGCTCACGGTTAATCGTTATGTCCCTAGAAATAAACACTATAAACGTATTTTTGTTTGTCACAGATTCTGACATATTTTACACTTAGAACTTAGAGTATGAATCTTGCGATTAATAGTTTTGAATGATAAAGGAAACTCTGAGAAAGTGCTTGTAAACACATTTGGTAATTTTTTGTTAACCAAAGGGAAAGAACCTGCGTGCCATTTTAGCCATGTTTGATTAATAATGATGATTAATAATTTCAATTTAATTTGTTAATGTTTATGTATTAACAAAAAACGTAATGACTTTTTTTTTTTTTTACAGTTTTCATTGAAATATTGATTGAATTATTTTATTATTATTATTATTTTAATATTTATCAATTGACATTAAAATCTTACAACACTGCATCACAGTATTACAAATTTGCACAAGGTCACACAGATAAGTCACATCTGTGTGTTAGTCACATTTTATTGTTTCATTTAGAATAATGCACAACAACGGTTAATAAAAATGAAACCTTTACAAACATTAAAAATTTTTGTTTCTCTCACTCCACAACAAATCCTTTCAATTTAACAGTATTCAGAACAAAACAGGAATGAAAAATATATAAGTATAAAGTATAAAACAAACAAATTATAATGGCTTTCATTATAAGCAGCATTTATTATAAATGCCAAGCCTAAACAAATTTATTTAAAGCAAAATTGATACTACCTGCATGTGGGAAATTCACTATACATGTTTTGTGTATTTTCAGATGATTAAAAAAATGTTATATTCTGGAAAATACAGTAAATGCATTTGTTAATTGTTAATTTTTAAGAATTTGTTAAAATGTAAGGCTGCATGTAAAATGTAAGGCTGTACTTTATATTAGCAGCATTGAACTTGAAAGGATTTCCCTAAAGTTAGCTGTAGAGAGTGTGGTTCAGTTTGCTCTTGTCTTGTTTTAGGGCCTCCTCTAATCCCAGCTACTAGGATAGACACTCAACCCCACTCCAGAACCAGCACCTCTTCCCCTTTGGCCCTGCCTGGAGTGAGACCTCCTCCTCCTCCTCCACCACCACCTCCTTCCTCATCTTCCTCCTCTTCTGCCTCTCTTCACCCTCAGTACACTCTCTCTGAATGTAAGCCACTGACTGCACTTTTCTCTTCACCGTTTGAGCAGTGGTGCTTCTAGAGCTTACTGTGTTTTAAAGGGGTCATATCGTTGAAAACATGCTCTTTTGGAAGAAAACACACTTAAAGGGATAGTTCACCCAAAAATGAAAATTTGATGTTTATCTGCTTACCCCCAGGGCATCCAAGATGTTGGTGACTTTGTTTCTTCAGTAGAACACAAACGAAGATTTTTAAGTCAAACTGTTGCAGTCTGTCAGTCTTATAATGCAAGTGGATGGGAATCACGGCTTTGAGAGT